AGCAAGTGATAACCAATCTCCCAAGAGGACACCCAACAGGTACATTGTTGAAGTGGACGACTGTCTGCCTGAGTACTGTATGTGTTCAATGTCGTCACACCAACACTTCAAGTGGCTTAAATTCCGGTGCAGCATCAGATGCGTGGTAGAGCACAAGTATTTCGAGTGGTTCATTCTCTTCACTGTAATGTTCAGTAGCTTTGTTCTGGTAAGGAAACTCAGAAATAGTCGTTGATCTTAAGTTCAGCGGAACATTGGTCCCACGAGGTAAAAGTAATAACTGGCATCAAGGCTGGGTGACGCATAAGACCGGCCAATCAATGTCATTGCTTCGTCTTATAAGAGGACCTTTAGTTACAATATTTGCCTCATTAATTAGCATAGGTGATACAGTTTCGGATGGAGTTACAAAGACATTACTTTTGAATATTGAAAGCGAACAGCACGATTAACTGTCCCAAAGAATTTAAACCCGATGAATCTAACGCTTTTTGCGCGACGCGGGATTTTATAAAGAATGTATGAGCTCATTAGCGTTCCTCGAATATTACACCTAAAGAGCCAAACATTCACCAGTTACTAGTTTCCACAAGCTCCTTAAATGTTTGAAGTCAATAATTTGTGTCTAGCCTTGATGCCTTCTCTGCGCAAAGTCGTATGTTAATGAGAAAAAATGTAAACAATGACGTCAGCAAAGATTCGCTTATAGTCCGAAGAGGCAAAACCGTTTTCTTAATCCCCATCATGGGATCCTGGTTAACCCCACGTTTCTCCCAGCTTTCTTTTCCCTAACAATTTACCGGTACCCTGCCCAATCATATGTGCGGGTGGAGGGACACACTGTGAGGGAGGCACTTACAATGCGAGGTACAGATTTCAAATCCTCCTAACTGCCATCAGCTGGATTTGTCTTGGTTAGTCCCGAAGTCCCGAATTCAAGTCCTCCTCGGTATGAAAACAGCAAAATTGGTTTTGTTCGTTCAATATTTGTTCATAAAAACTTCTAGTTTTGTCACAAAACAAACATAAATAAAGTTGCTTCAGTTACGTTTAGTTGATGCACTGAAATAGAGAAACTCTTTATCGATCAACTCCGACTTGAAATTGAGAAAACTAATGCCACAACACTTTACTTTTTTCAGATTTTTGAGGACATTCACCTTCCCGAGAGGCCACTCCTTGAAAAGACATTAAACATTCTAAATTATTTCTTCGCTGCTGTGTTTTCGCTGGAGTTTATTCTTAAGATTCTCGGTCTAGGTGTTGTCAAATACTTCTCTTCAGTTTGGAACTGCTTGGACGCTTTTATCGTGGCGGTGAGTAGAACCCTGCACAAACGGTTGCACAAATGACCTGACAAAAATATCCTCTAGTTGAGTTTGAGACATCCAAACTCCGCGTGGTTGACATTCGCAAGGCCATCATCATTTCTAGTTCAGTGTTGTGTTACGTAGGACATCACGAGAGTTACGAGAGGAACATGTACAACGCGTCTGAAGAGCCATTGTACTGCTCAATAGGACACCTTGTGCCTCTGTTTCAAAACGAGTCCTCATGCAAACCGTAGGAGGAATGCATTATCATATGAATCGTTTCGCCCGAAGACTCGTTTTCAAACAAATGTAAACGGCGGCAACTCGGAAATGGCCTATTTATTCTTGTTTGTTGACGTTCGCGTAGCCGTAGCCGTAGTGGACTGCCTTTAAAGAACTTCATATTCGCAGTGTTCTTTTTACGGATTAAAGTGAATAGGAAAGTGAAATGAAAAGAAGATGTATTGTTTTGTTTTACAGATTTCCTTGGCTTGTTTGTCAGAGAACAAACAGTTGTCAGTGTTTCGATCTCTTCGAACCCTCAGGGCACTACGGCCTCTCCGAGCCATATCCCGTATGGAGGGAATGAAGGTACATGACATGAGATTTTCACCAGTCCGACTGATTTATTGAATTAAGTAGATTTAATTAGTTAAGTGAACGAACTGGTTTGAACATGTGCAGTTTTTTTCTGTCACAGTATTTTAAAAAGGAGTCTTACCACAAATAGGGTTTTAAATCTACGAGAATGATAAACAAATGATTGTAATTTATCTAGAGTGGGGGGATTTTCCCGTTCTAGAATTATCTCTTTTTTAGCTGCTGCTGGTTTTATAGATAAGGCCATTTTCCCTATTTATTCCCCAATACAGACCGAACAAGCCATTTCAATAAAGTATTCATCATAATGGCTCTTTTAAGACTCTTTTGATGCATTATGCGCCCCGCGATCCATTCTTGAATAACACGCGCTCGTAAAAGTAAGCATTTGCTTAGCAACAAACTGTGTTCTTTTAGTCTCGCAACTCTTCATAATTAATTCTGTGGGACGTAAAAGAACCCACACAATGATCGAAAAGAGTAGGGGACTTAGTTCCCGGTGTGATGATCTGATGGTTAAATGCTCGGAGATATTAGCTGCATAAGCTACTCTGAAATCCCAGGGTAAATAAAGTAATGTATGTATGTACAGTGCATTTCTTTACTTGACTTGTAAAAAAATACGTAGCACCATTTGTGCTTGCATCCATTTTTACGTCCAATCACCGGTCATTTTAACACACTCAGGTTGTCATCAACGCATTATTCGCAGCCATTCCAGGTATCGGCAATGTTCTTGTGGTGTCGCTTCTCTTCTGGTTGATATTCAGCATTCTTGGTGTCCAGTTGTTTTCTGGCAAGTTCCAAGCATGCGTAGATCATGAAGGCGAAAGGGTACCAGCCAGCGTTGTTCCAAACAAAACAAAATGTCTTCGTTTCCCGGAAAAGTACGTCTGGAAGAACTCTGAGGCGAATTTCGATAACGTTCTCAATGGCTTTCTCGCACTCTTTCTGGTGGTACGTATGTTTCATACGGCAATAGACGGATTCGACTAACATGTGTACATTCCTTGCTACCACCCAAATCAGACCACTTGACAATTCATTTGGGAGGTCACAATTGTGCAATTTGCCACATGCAACTAGGGAGGGTGTATAAACAGAACAATTGTAACCTCCTCCCAAATGAATCATCATATAACCTCAATTGATTGGCAACAAGTAAACACATTAGTCAAATCTGTCCATAGTTTATATTTTCCATCGCAAGCGACATGCTAACCTTACGAGATGTGTGAGACACAAATTGTTGGCTTAAAACTTACTTAAGACTATAAGAATGCCGTGCGTTTGTGAATACGACACTTTATCTTTCTACTTGACGTTTCGTATATTTCGACATTTATCTTCAGAAGTGACCGTTGAGAATAGAAATAACAACTGAATTTAAGATAAGTAACTAATTAACAATAAAAATGACAGAAGCTGAAAAAAAAATTGCAT